CTCAGGATTAAGGCTGCTTTGTTTTTTCTTTTTTTAAAGAAGAAAAATTCTTGGACCAGCAGATGGTGTAATGGTTACGTCGCTGGACTCCCACATGGTCAACTGCAGTGCATGTCCTGGACCCAGAGGCTTAAACTCATGCCAGGCGCATGTGCGTGAGTGCCCAAACTCCTGAGAGGAAAACAGAGAAGAGGGGATTGCAGCATGACCATACTCTCGGGGGGGGTGGTGGTGGTGGTGGTGATTTCTCAATTTCTGTCTCGCCTCTCCCTCTCTCCAGCAAGTGCACATGCCCTATAGCAAATGTGCCCTCGCTGGAGAGAGATAGAGGGGGGATGGTGAGGAGCCACCCCAAGTGAAGATGGCCATGCTGCAACCACTTCTCTTCCATTCTCTTCTTGGGATTTGGGGGACACACACACACGCCCAGTGTTTCTTGTGGGATCCTGCACCTTGTCCTCCACACCCAAGGCTGCCCCAAGGGCTGTTTCTTACAGAAGGACCCTGCAGCAGATGCGGGCTGCCTTGTGAGGGATGCAGATGTCTAGCTTCTCCCCTACACTGGACTGCAATCTCCAGGCCTGAGGCCGTCATACGCTCAGCCAGGGACCAGTCTCAGAAAAACGATTTTCCTCTGTACTGAGCAGAAACCAAGAAAGAGCCTTCCAGGAATAGTGGGGAGGAGGGAGCGTGCCTGGAAGGGGTAACCCCATCGTTTCTTAAGCGGGACTGGCTTTTTCTCCCAGGCCCTGGCACAAAGGGCAGGAAGCCCTGGGATGCACTCCAACCCCCTTGGCTATGGGATCCTGAGGGAGGGTAACTGGCAAGGTTGCAGCTGTCCTGGAAGAGGCTTGGGAACTTCACGTGCCACTGCCAAGCCCAACGGGGCAGTTCTGCTCTGGAGGAACAAGACCTCTATGGGTCATGGATGAGTTCAGGACACCTAAGTCCTGCTACACCTAAGTAGGTGGCAGGTCTGCGTTTGGATTCTGTGACAGAGAAGGAGCAGACATGGGGGAGACTCACTAAAACCAAGGAAGCCCTGGTGCGAAGTCTGGCAATGCCACTGATGAGCTTCAGACGCTTGGAAAACTCCCTCTGCGCTAGTTCCCTCGTTCACCCTAACGAAGGCAGTACTCGCTCCAATGCTTGCTGACGGTTACTGGAGAGCGTGCAGCAGAGGTTCGCACTTGGGAGGACTTCACTCCCGTACGTGTTCATGAACCTATTCAATACCAAAAGCCCTCATGGATCTCCTCCCACTTACACCCTGTAGGACATACGGTCGTCTCTCTTATGCAGATGAGGAAACTGAGACTTCGGGAGTCACTTGTCCATGACCACATGCTAGTTAGTGGCTGAGCTGAGACTCAAACCCAGGTCTGGTGACCTGCTATTCAGCACCTCCCAAGTCGGTATCAACACGTGCTCGATCCCCATGCCCTTGAGCCTGCCCCTCCACCCTCGTGCAGGAAAAAGGCATCCTACACAGCCCAGAGCGTGAGCAGCCTGGGGTGTCGCCTGGTTTCTCTCACACACTGGTCAGCCCTGGGAGTCATCAAGAAGCCTGAGCTCCCCTGGGCAGGCAGGAGTCCTCTCTTTAGAGCCCAGGCATCCCATGGACCTGGCACAATCCTTACTGTGTCTGAGAGAAGAATCTTAAGGTCAGTTTCTAAATGTGGATGGAGTGGGGGGAGACCTGCATAGTGGTGAAGGTCTAGACTCCCACAATGCTGACTGTGGCTTGAGTCCTGGACACGGTGCCTTGAAAATCATGTCAGGCACCCATGTGTGTGTAGGTGTGCATGCATGCATGCCCAAAATCCCTAGAGAAGACTAGAGGAAAGGAGGAGGGGTTATGGCATCGCCATCCCCTGGGGGGTGATTTTTCACTTTCCCTCTCACGGTCTCTGTTTCTCCCTCTCTGGCGAGTGCATGTGCCCTACAGCAAAAACAATAAATAAGTACATACATAAGGAAGGAAATTAGTAAGTAAGTAAACAAACAAACAAGTAGCTATGCATGGGGTAGGGACAGTAGAGGGAAACCAGAATTCCCCTGTTCCAACAGACTCTGAGTCTCACACACATTAACCAAAAATTGACCTAAAATAAGCTCACATCTCAGTTCATGTGGGCCTGGGATCCGAACACAGCTCAGGGCGTTGCTTTGGGTCAGGCCCTCATGAGGGTGTAGTCACGCTGTCAGGTGGGGCTGTGGACCCACCTGGAGCCTCAGCTGGGGGAGGGAGGGTCTGCGCCTTGGCTCACTCCCCTGGTCACCAGCAGGCGTTGTCTCTCAGAAGAGCCTCCACGCAGGGCTGCCCTGCAGCTTACCTCTTCCAGGATGAGTGACCCACGAAAGTGGGAGACGGCACACGAGATGGAAGCTGCAGTCCTTTCTGTAACTTCCTTGCAGGTGCCATCCACCCTTCTGTGGTATTTGAATTGTTAGAAGTTCTGGAAGTCCAGCCCACACTGAAGAGAGGGGAGCATAAAAGTGCATGAATCCCAGAGGGACCACCCGGGGCTGTCTTAGAGGATCCTCCCTACCACACTCATACAGGCAGAGAACAGTGCCAGGAAGATAGGCTGGAAACATTCAGCACCGGTCACCTCCAGGGGAGGGAGCTGGGGACGTGGGGGCGGGGGAAATTTTTCACTGAAAATGCTTTTACATTTTTTACTACATGAATGTAACACTTATTCAAAAAAACAAACCAAATTTATTTTAAATTAAAAAAATATAAATTCGACATTTTAATAGCAGAAGACAAGCTAAGAAAGCACAAGATAAAAATAATTAGTCTTAAATATCAATAGATCCGAATGCCTCTAGTACTTCCAAAACTGAACTAGTCCCACCTGTTGTAAAAATGCGTCATGACGTTCCCGACAACCCAAGAATACATAACCATTGCTAAGTACTATATACATATTTGGTTCTGATTTAGTCGTGACTTATTTCAACAAGGGAGGGTTAAAAAATTCTTTCTCTCTCACTCACACACACACACACACACACACACACACACACACACACACAAAGTGACTTTCATCTGTGGAACAAGTAACAAATCCTTAAAGCAGGTTTCAGGCCCTTCGCAACATGGCTCCAGCCCCCGGCCCCCCATCTCTGAGCTGAGGCCACTTGCTTACTGAGCTGTTATTATTTGCCAGTTCCGGGGTAAAAGCCTGGCTTCCGGTCGTGTTAGCTTCCATTCTCTCTCAAACTCTGCCTTTGCCTGGTGTGCCCCATGTGTGGGATGCCCTGTCCCCTCCCCTAAGGCCTGACTCAGATGTCACTGTCACCACGTAGCGTTCCCACGGACAGGCAGCTACCATCTCCCTTCTCCCACGGCAGCGTTCCCTCAATGACAAGCCTCTTCTTAGCATATTACAACGGAAACCTGTAGCAACTCGACTCTGGTCCCTGGACATCAGCCTCAATATCACCTGGGACCTCCTTACACAGGAAGAATCTTGGGCCCCGCCTCAGACCTACAGAATCAGAATCTAAATGTTTGAAAACCACGGATTTAAACCTTTCTCTGGTCTGACTATAAACCTTTCTAGGTCTTCCTGTCATCTCTGCCCCCAGGACCTCTTGTAAGACTTGATACTCAGAGGACTTTGGAGTTAAGTCTTATTTATAATAATTACATATATGATAGACTTCTGAAACTCGCCAGGGCCAGTCAGTGGACGGTGGTTAAGGCAGTGGGATCGCACATGGCCAACAGTGCAGTCTGAGTCTTAGACACAGTGGCTTGAAAAAATATGCTAGGCACATGTGCATGCATGCCCAAAATCCCAGGAGGAGAATGCTGGAGAGAGGATGCTTTCTCACTTCCTCGCTCTCTCCCCAGTGGTGGATAACAAACTTGAAACAAACATGCCATATAACAAACTTGAAAACAAAAAACAAAAATCTCCTAGAAGCATAAAAGCAATATTAACAATAATTACCTGCTAGGTGACAATGGTGCATTTCTATGTAATATCTCAATTCTTTACAGCAGAATTTACTACCATGATAGGTAAAAAAAAAAAAATACACATCTGTAATACATGCAAAATGTAAAATAAGGCATAAAATGTAACGTATAATACATTCACAAAAAGGAAAAAATGCAAGCTAACCAAGTTTTTAAAAATTTAACAGTATATATTGATGTTACTTTTTAAAAAGGTGTGAATAGACACTGAAAAGATATAATACATATAGCATACATATGCATAGCATACACACACACACACACACACACACACACACACACACTATATGCATATAATATAAATATCCCTCATGGAGCTTGTTTTATATTGTTCTGCATTTAAAATTTTTCCTACAGTTTTCCTACAGTTTTTAAAAATGCATACATTGCTTTGTAGTAAGGGGAAAGAAAACAAGAAAAATAGCTATACTTTTTTTTAGGTCCCTTTACATATCCAATGGTCAAGATTTCTACAACCAGGACCAGTAGTAGCATAATAACTATGTCACTGGACTCCCATGTAGTTGACCGCGGTTCGAGTCCTGGATCCGGTGGCTTAAACTCACGCCGGGCATGTATGCATGCATGCATGCTCAAGATCCGGAGAGGAGAATAGGGAAGGGACTGAGGCATGGCCATACCCCCAGGGGGTGATTTCTCGCTTTCTGTCTCTTTCTCTGTCTCTCTGGCGAGCGCACACAGCCTATAGCAGGGCGCACACCACCTAAAAAAAAAAACCCACAAAAAAAAAAAAAAAAAAAAAAAGAAAGAAAGATTTCTACAACCTGCGATGCTGCAAGGACTGGAAGCACCCAGGCCACGGCACACAGGAGGGTGCTGGCCTTGGAGACACAGCCCTTGATGCCGGGCTCGGGGCTGGCGTCGTCCCACCTGTGCAGCTACTCCACACTCAGAGGACATGGCCCCACAGCCCTGTCACGGCGGGGCCGGGGTGGGGTGGGTGGTGTCTCCCATCTCCAGTCCCTTTCTCTCAGCTGTCACAGCTGCAGAGCGCTCTCCAAGACAAAGCGTTCAGGACCTTCGTGCTGCACCACCTCCCCCTGGTGGCGGACTCCAGAAATGGAAACTGGCCTGACAGTGAGGAGCTCCCATCCCTGGGAAAGTCATGAGGTATTTTTCCATTTCTATGCAAAAACGCATCATGACTTTTCCAATGACCCAATACATAGCCAAAAACCCTTAAGGGAGTTTTCCATCAATATTACCCTTAGTTTTTAAATCATCAAAACTCTTTTTCATCAAGGAGTCTGATATTGACACAAATATAAAGCCAAGACCCAGTGTCAACCAGACACCTTCTCGGGTGGTGTCAAGAGCAGCTGCCGCTCTTTCCTCCATCCTCTCCTTCCCTGCCACCTGGGGACTGAGGGCTGACAGGAGACACCGAGTTCTTCAGCACAGCCTTGTCTGCTTTCTCTCAGCCTCCACCGCTTCCCTGAGCCCCAGGAGAGGGCAAACGGCAGCCTGCGTGCTCTGCCATGGCCTGGCGTGGAGAAGACCCAGGATCAGAGGTTCTGGCACCAGTCCTCCCAAGACCCAGTCCTCAGGTTCTAAGCACTGCCAGTGCAAACGTGTCATGCTGCAGTCTTGACATCCCTTTGAAGATCCCAGGGTGCAGCAATGCCAGTCTTCGGCAGTGGTGCCCTGGTCTGCAGGTAAGCACACAGCTTCCTCACTCTCCCAGGAAGAAGGACACGCTCAACAGGACATCTGGAACGGAGAGAGACAAAACTGGGGCGTACCATCTCTCCAGAGAGCTCAGGACATCAGACAGCCACACGAACGTGTGGGCACAGAAAGGCCACCTCTAACGCCTCCGAAGAGGTGGGCTGCAGGGAAGGCGAGAAGAAACGTACCTTGTACGAGGTCTTGGTGCTCATCTTCTGAAATCCGGTCCCAGGCCTTGGGCAAAGCTTGGATGTTTGCCAAGTCTCCCCACTGGACCGAGGAGAGGAGGTACTTTCTCTTCAGGTACCTTTCTGGAAGTTAAGGACTGCTCAGAAAGGAAATGAAATGAAGGAGAATGATACCCTGGCAAGAGCTCCAGGGAGCCAGAGAAGTGAAAATGCAGCTACCGGTAACTGTACAGGGCAGCCAGGCCTCACCTACACTCAAATACCTCCTGAGCATCTCCTCGTTCACACGGCGTAGGCTACAGGCAGAGAGGAGCAAAACAGCCCCTTGAATCTGGGCACTCACCACGGTGAGGACAAAACCAGAAACTGAAAAAAATCAAGTGCCATGGAAGAGAAAACACAGCGATGTTCAAAGGATAGTAGGAACCTTCCTGCTGGTAGGAAACCCAGCAAAGGCACGGGAGCGGGGAAGCACAGGGTGGCTTCAAGGCAAGGCCAGCGTTAGGTCTGGCTGGCGTGGAAGTCACATGTACAGCAGGAGGAAAGGGAAAGGTGGCTGTAAGGGGGACTCGGCCAGAGCACAGAGCGCTGAGGGCAGGGCAGGATTCGAACTAGGTCTGACCGGCACAGAAGCAACCGGCAGCTCCTGCCAAGTGACGTGAACAGAACTAGACCTCCTGAAGATAAATGGATTTGAGGTCAATTACTCGAGAGATCTTGGACAGAGAAGATAGAGACAGAGAACCTGTCAAGAGACTACATGTGGGCCAGATTGTGGTGCTGCAATAAAACACGATGCTCTGCGAGGCTGGCCCACGAGCGGAGGTTCCAGGCTCACGCCCACAGACCTCCCTCCCTAGGTATAGCAGGCACACATGCACCTAGGATCCAGGCTGGATCACAGCGTCAAGACCCTGTTGGAAGTCTTGCTCACTCACGGAATGAACAGATGAATGACTAAATAAACATGTAACCTTTTTTTTTAGTAACTTTCCTCTTTTCAATTTTTTATTTATTTTTTAAGGTTTTTGCCATAGAGTGCGTAAACTCATTGAGAGACACAGAGAGAGACAATGGGATAGTGAGAAATCACGCTCTGGGGGGGATGATCCTGCTGCAATCCCTTCTCCTCCATTCTCCTGGAATTTTCGGCATGCACGCGTACCCAGCATGATGTTCATGCCACCAGGTCTGGGACTTGAACCATGGCCAGCCATGTGAGAGCCCAGCACCTTAATCACCTGGCCCTGATATATAACTTCTTAAAATATATATATTTATTATTATTTAATCTTACCAGAGAGAGACAGAGAGAGGGAAAGTGAGAAAGCAAGCCACCAGGTCTGGGACTCAACCATGGATGGCTACGTGGGAGTCCCGAGCTCCAACCACCACACCACCTGCTGGTCCCCCAGTACATAACTTTTAAAAGGTGAGAGTACATGTGGTTAAGTGTTTAAATGAGGTAAGAAACTTCGGAATGGCAGAGGGATAAAGAGCTGGGGGAATATAATAAAGGCCCGACGAGTGACTGTGCAACACTGTAGCACGTGGTGAGTGCTCAGCGAAACGCTAGCTGTAACGACCACACCTTCTGCCATGCTGCTGCTGCTGGTCCTGCTGCTACTGCAACTTAAAAATTAAATAGAGGGAACCAGCAGCTAGCGTAATGGCTATGTTGCTGGACTCCCACGTAGTCGACCGTGGTTCGCGTCCCGGACCCGGTGGCTTAAAACTCACGCCGGGCGCATGTGCGTGCGTGCCCAAGATCCCGACAGAATGGAGAAGGGATTGCGGCGTGACCATCCCCCCGGGGGTGATTTCTCGCTTTCTGTCTCTATGTCTCTCTCTGTCTGGTGAGCGCACGCGCCCTATAGCAAAAAACCTCTCAAAATAAATAAATAAATAAAATTAAAATTAAATAGAAAGTAGAGAGGAAAAGAGGGGGGGAAGATGACCCTTGTGTTTCTAGGTGGGGTGACTAAACGATTCTACGACTGAAGAAAAAGGGAGTTCAACTTGAGGGTTAGAGGGAGGAGTTTAAACCAGAGTTTAAGGGTCCATGAGAGATCCAGCTGGAGGCACCTGCAGGATATGCAACCTCAAGACTAGCGCCGGCAATGAAGGCCGGGGGTCAGTTCTTCATAAGGAAGCAAAAACTTCATCTAGGGGGCAGGTGCAGGTACCAGCCCGGCAAGATCAGATAGAAAATGCCAGAACTTCAATTCACTCATCTTTCTGCTTTCATCCTTGCCCCTCGACCTCAAGTTTTCCTCACAACATAGCCCCATTATGCTCTTGAAAACAAAGGTCCTGGGCTAACAGGTGATGTGGTTAAGGCGCTGGATCCCACATGGCTAACTGTGTGGTTCTAGTCCTGGACTCGGTGGCCTGAAAAACATGCCAGGCTTGTGTCTGTGTGTGCACCAAATCCCAGGAGGAGAGCGGAGAAGAGACTGTGGCATGGGCATCCCCATGGAGGGTGATTTTTTACTCTCCATCTCTCTGGTAACCACACATACCCCATGGCAAAAAACCTAACAAACAAACATAGGTCCTACCATGTTACTCCTGTTCTCAAAACCTAACGACAGCTTTCGCTCCCTCAGAGTAAAAGCCCAACTCCTTTCAAAGGTCCTCGGGGTCCTACAAGGTTCAGCTCCCGGTCTTGCTCATTTTATGTCCTCCAGGCTCCCTGTCACACCCTGCTTGAGTCATGCACGCTTCCTTGCCATTTCCCAAATACACCAGACATTTCTCACCTCAGGGCCTTTGCATATGCTTCCTTCTGCCGGAACATCCACCTGGCTCCCTCCTCCACCTTCTCAGGGCTCCATTCAAATGGGATTTCCCAGGGAAGCCTGCCCTGGCCACCCTATTTAAATCTCAACTCACTCCCACACCTCACTGTCCCTGCTTTATTTTTCTCCATAGCACTCAACAGCATCTGACAGTGTATATATTTCCTGTTTTTTGTGTTTGTTCTTTTTATTTTTATTTTTTGAATTTTTAAAAATTTATGTTTGCTGAAAGAGACAGAGAGAGGGAGGGAAAGTGAGAAAAACACCCACGAGGGAACATGGTCATGACACAATCCTCCTCCATCTCTTCCTCCTTTCAGGATTTTGGCCGCATATGCACACATGTCTGGCATGTGTGTCAAGCCACCAATCTGGGACTCAGCCCACAATCCATATGTGGGACACAGCCACCTTGTTATCAGGCCACGGCTGGACTTAGTTTTCTCTTGTTTTGATGCCTTATCCCCTAGAACCCAGTACAGTGCCTGGCAGGTGGCAGAAAATCATTTGAGGAAATACTGTACAAAGAATGCAGGGGAAACCAAGCGTAGGAACAAAGAGAACTGCCCTAAACTACTACTTTCTAATCTTAAGATAAATGAAATAAAAAAGACCTTTCGGGACAGTCCTGGACACTAGGTGACGCTGCACAAAGGATGCGAATTCCTGTAGTGTGTCTCAATGTCTTGCAGCCATTCCAGCATGTCGGCCACAGAAGGACTTGCGGCGGAAGGCTGCAGGACGGTATCAATGCCGACTGAGTCTGCGTGCTGCTCGTAGACCTGAAACACACGCTCCACGTGGCTGCTGACCGTGTCGCGCACCTGGAGGAGGGTGGCTCTGTGGGAACAGCCTGATGTGAGGTAATGGCAGGAGAAGGGTCTAAGGCAGGTCTTGCCACTTGGCACTACTGAGGCTTTGGACCAGATGCTTCTCTGTGGTGGAGGGCTGCCCCATGCCGGCCCAGTATTCTGATCATTTTTATTGCTGAATATAACATGGCACGGACCACGTCATGTCTTTCCATCCATCTGGACTGATCCCACCTTTTGGCTATTATGAATAGTGCCAAGAATTTCCAGAGTTTTCAAACAGCTTCAGCCAAGAAGCTGACCTATGTAGAAACTGTGCTGAGGATCATACGGGAGGCTACCATCCCTCACCAAAGCCCCCTTGATCCAGAGGGAGAGAGCGAGCTGCGAGCCAATCTCATGGCTTACCAGCCCCGAGCTCCAGCCATTCTATTCTCCATGCAGTTCTACTCACACCCATGCATACTCTTGTTTTTTTTGGAGAGGTTTTTCTATATGGTGGGTGCTCTCACCAGAAAGACAGAGAGAGAGAGACAGAAAGCAAGAAATCACCCTCCAGGGGGATGGCCACATCACAATCCCTTCTCCTCCATCCTCCTCTAAGGATCTTGGGCATGCATGCACGCGTGCCTGGCGAGAGTTTAAGCAACCAGGTCCAGGACTCCATCGGCGGCTGACTATATGGGAGTCCAGCAACGTAGCCATAACGCCATCTACTGGTCCCTCCCATGCATACTCTTGACCTCACTTACACCTGTTTATCCTTCAGGTTTTTGACATCACCTCCTTCCAGAAGCTTCCTTCATCTTACAAGCTGTGCTTATCACTACTTTGAAACACACCATAACATGATGGTGAAATTTTTTTGGTCAGGGTCAAGGAAAGGTTACAGGTGCCCTAACTCTGTCCTCAATAATCTCTAACTCTGAGATGAAGGATCTAAAAACAGGCATAAATCAGAGCTTGGAATCATGCCACTCGTGGGCACAGGGACAACAACCTACATGGACTCCAGGGTACAGGAGAACCAAGTGGTGATGAAGCGCTCTGGCTTTGGTGCTGGGCACACTTCACTTAGAATCCCAGCTCTATCTATTGGCAGTGTGACGTGGGCAATCTGCTTGAGCCTGTTTCCTTGCCAGCAAAATGGAATTGAGTGAGTGAATGAAGTCACAAAGGTGTTAAAAGGACTTCATGAAGTAATATCCTGGGACCAGCAGATGGTGTAATGGTTACAATGGTGGACACTCACGTAGTTAATCATGTTCTAGTCCTGGACCCGGTGGCTTAAAACTCACACTGGAAATGTGTGTGCGTGTGCCCAAGATCCCATGAGAATGGAGGAGAAGGAACTGTGGCATGGCCATCCCCCCGGGGGTGTGATTTCTCACTTTCTGACTCTGTCTCTCCTGTGAGCGCATGCTCCCTTATAGCAAAAATCTCTCTCTCTAAAAAAAAAAAAAAAAAAAAAGTACTATCATTAGCTCTGGCACCTGCTCAGCTTACAACATAGTTCCTTGCCATTACCTCTTATCCGCTCAGAAAACCAGCATAGAGAAGGGCCGATAAGTTTCTCCACTCCTTTTCTGCTCTGCTTTTGTAACTTTACTAAGTCCTTCCCTGCCGGGCCAGCCACTGACAACACAAGTGCCAGAAAACAGCTTTCGGACAGTGGTATCACTGCCATGGTGGGAAGGAGGACAGCCCTCCATATGCTATGCTGTCAAGTAGGAGGAAAACATCCCCTCACTGATCTTAGCTACGGATAACACACCCAGTTTTTATACTCTTCCGCCCAGAAAGAGCGCCATGAAGCCTCTTACAGCCTCTCCCCTAACTTGTCCAGGATGGTGTCACCAGCCACCAGCTGCTTGCGCCTCAGCCGCTCCTGCAAGTCTGGAAAGGCTAGAAGGGATGGCACATCCTCGAATCGCAGATTCTGCGCGGCCTGCAGCTGCTCCGCCAGGTTGGCGAGCGAGGCCAGGAGGGGCTGGCAGTCCCGCACCGTGCGCTGCCACAGGCCCTGCTGCTCCGCCACCACCGGGAAGCATTTCTTCAGGGCCTCCTGCACCGTTAACAGAGGCCCGTCTTGGGACATCTTCTGTGGATTAAAAAATATAAGGAAAAAAAAAGGGGCGAGGGAACAGCGTGAGATGCCAATCAGTAGAGGGAGCACTACTGGGGGGGGGGGGTGCAGTCATTTTGGATCCCGTGGGAGGTCACGCTCTGGGCCTTCACGTCCCTACGGCAGGTGACCCTGCGCGAGGTGGCGTCTTACCTTCAGAAGGGGGTCTCTGAAGGAAGGCCCTTGGCTTCCCACCTCAGGAAGGGTTTCCTGGCTATCACTCCAAGGAGGTTCCGGACAAAGCAGCTTTCCGCTTCCGACTCCGTATTCACCGGGCCCAAGCCTTGTCTACCTTCCGACCCATGCTTCGGAGCCGTAATCTTGCCCACCCCTACCCCACTGAGACTGCGGGTCACGATTCCTAAACTAGCAGGAAGACAGCGCCTACTCAACCGAAGAACAAGAACGCTAACCACGCACCCTCGGTCTCTACGCAAGCGCAAAAGCCACTGCCCAAAGCACCGTCTCCGGCTCGCGCGTCTGAGTCGCGATAATATGGCGTCAAGCCGTAATGACTTCTGGGAACTGTGGTCCTACATGTGGATTGGCTGCCCGATTGGGAAGCTTCTTTGTGATTGGACGCTGTGGGCCTGTCCTAAGACGGCAACTTCTCATTCGTTAGCCTGTGGCAGTTGAGTTTGAATTTAGTGGCGGCGGGTGCTTGTCCGAGTAGGCGAAGATCCGCTCCGGCTCAGCTGGCCCGGCGAGGTTTTTTTTCTCGGCCCCTGTTTCGGGACGCACAGGTACGTACCCCACCACTTCTTTATACAAAGGACCCGAAAGAGGGGTGCCCTTACCAATTCCGATGAGTCCTGACCTGCTCCTTCCGCCCCTCCCGGGCCCTTGCTTTCCCTCTCCCTGTCTCCGCCTCTGACTCCCTGTGGCTCTGTCCTCAGTCCCCCGCAGCCTCCTCCGAAGCGCCATGGCTCCGGCTAGGAAGCGCGGCAGTCGGGTAGCTAAGACCACCAACTCGTTACGGAGCCAGAAGATCGCCTCCTTTCTTAAAGACTTCGACCGTGAAGGTAAGGGGCGGAGCCCGGGCTGTCCAGGGATCGCCGGTTGCTGGAGGGTTGAGGTGCATACAGCACGAATTCCAGGCCCCATTTACCTGCCAAGTGACCCATGTCCCCCCTGGCTCTCTTGCAGTACAAATTCGATCCAAGCAAATTCAGTCAGATGGGCAGAACCTCCTCAAGGAGATAGATAACCTATATAACATCGAGATCCTGCGGCTCCCCAAAGCGCTGCGCGAGATGAACTGGCTCGACTACTTCGGTAAGGGCTGCTAGAGTTTCCCCAGGCAGCCTGAAGCCCCTCTGCACTTAACAGGACAGCCTTGAGAAGGGACTCGCTGAAATGTCACCTTCTTAGTAAGGTCTTCCATGACTACTACTACTATAGAAAATTGCAGCCCTGGAGCCGGCAAGTAGCGTGGTGGTTAGAGCTGAGCTCCCAAATGACTAACCACAGTTCAAATCCCGGACTTGGCGACTTGCCTTCTCACTTTTTCTCTCTCTCTCTTTCTCTTTGTCTGTGTATGTGTCACTCTGGTCAAATTGAAAAATAATGATAATAAGTAAATAAATAAGAAAATTGCAGCCCTGCTGCTTCTCCTGACTCCCTATATCACCTCACCTCCCAGCATTATTTTTTCCTCAAAGAACTTATTACCTACCTTGGTAATAAGCACACCTTTTCTCTAAAGGACCAGATAGCAAATATTTTAGACTTGGTGTTTAGCCAGAGTGTTCCCTGTGGCCCTTATTATATACCATTATATTAACAGTTCCAAAACAATTGTAATGAATGGGCATGGATGTATTTAAATAAAACCTTACTTATGGACACAATTGAAGTATGAATTTCACCTAATTTTCACATCATGAAATATTCTTCGAGTCAATGAATGACTTGGCTTGTTATCAGAGCTCAGATGGGCTCAGCCTAACCAGCTGTTTCTGTATAGCTGCCTGTTCTTTTAAAACCACGCAGATCAACTCGTTAAGGACATCAGTGTTTTCCTGGCCAGAGGGAAATGCCGGCCTAATTACCCAGTACATAGCCTCTGTAGATAGAAATGCATGTTCTGCTCATATAGGAGATGTTTAGCTATCCTCTTCATCTGCCCATTTAACTACTAACATGTTCATTCCATCCTACAGATCCTCACTGAACATGTGTCAGTTTAGGTAATAAACGTGCTAAAGATGCTTTGAGGAATAAAATACACCTTGTACCTGTCCTGTGGAACTCACAGGTGTGTGGAACAGGGTCATAAATTTTTTTACATACATGATTATGTAATTAAAAGTATAAATCCTATAAAAGAGAAGGAATAGAGAAGTGACACGCATAGTGCTTCCTAAGCCAGATAGGAGTTATTCCAAATATTTTCATTTTATTCACATAACAAGCTAATTAATTATTAAACTATCCCTGTTTTGGTGATGATAAAAAACACCGAAAGATTGCTGACTTTGCTCAAGGTCTCATAAATTGGTGGTGGAGTCTATTTGAACCCCACTACTCTAGGTCAGGAGGGGGAGAGCCAAGCTTGGAGAATGAGTCGATTAGACTGAGGGTCCTGAATGTTGGACCAAGGCTTAATCTGGTTCAGTTCTAGGAAAAGAACTGGTCGTGTTATATAAGATGATTTATCATTAAAATCTGATAGTAACTAAATAAAATGTTCTTTTAAAGCCCTCGGAGGAAACAAGCAGGCCCTGGAAGAGGCAGCAACTGTAAGTGAACAATCCTTATTTCTTTTTTTAACTTTTTAAAATTATTTTATTTAACTTTATTTTTTAACTTGACCAGAGGGGGACAGAGTGAAAGAGAGGGAGGAGGAAAGTGAGAAAGCAAGCCACCAGGTCCGGGACTCAAACCGCAGTCAACCATGTGGGAGTCCAACGCCCTTAACCACCACCACCTGCCAGCCGCCCCTCATCCCTTTTTTTTTTGCGGGGGGGGAGGTTTTTGCTATAGGGCATGTGCACTCGCCAGAAAGACAGAGAGAGACAGAAAGTGAGAAATCACCCCCCAGGGGGATGGCCACGCCGCAATCCCTTCTCCTCCATTATCCTCTCGGGATCTTGGACACGCATGCACATGTGCCTGGCGTTAGTTTAAGCCACTGGGTCCAGGATTCGAACCGCAGTCAGCTACATGGGAGTCCTGGGACATAGTCATTATGCTAACTGCTAGTCCCACCCCTCATCCTATTTTTATTTAGTTTATTTTTTTCCTTTGAGAGGCTTTTGCTATAAGGCATGTGCTTCACCAGAAAGACAGAGAGATAGAAAGTGAGAAATCACACCCCCACCGGGGGGATGGCCACACCGCAATCCCTTCTCCTTCATTCTCCTCTTGGGATCTTGGGCACACACTCTCATGTGCCTGGCATGGATTTAAGCCACCAGGTCTGGGACCAGAACCACGGTCAACTACATGGGAGTCCAGCGACATAGCCATTACGCAAACTGCTGGTCCCATCCCCCATCCCATTTTTAAACCATTCGTTTTACATTAGTCCAGTTACAAAATCTAACTAATGAGTGCTTACTGTAGAAGAGGTTCCAGAAACAGATATTACCTCTCATGTCAACTGAGCCCTAAAAAGGGAGGAAGATCAACTTTCAGCAGGTTCCTTACAGCTCTTTGCCCTGAACTCTATAAAAGTAGAAAGCCTCAAGCCCAAGATCTTTTAAGTACCTGGGTCATTACTATGACCTGGCCTGTTAGGTGACAAAGAAAAGGGGGGGATTTCCATGTCATTCTGGAGAACAAGTGCTCTTGCTCAGGACTCTCAGAAGTCCCCCACCCCTAGGACTGGAGGCAGTAAGATGAGGAGACACAACGAGTTTAGATCTGCACTAGACGGTATAGTATGGAGCTATTAAAGGAATTAAAATTAGCAAAATTAAAGATTTCCTCAGACACACTAGCCACATGTCAAATGCTTGATACCCACACCTGACTCCTGGCTCTGTGTTGGACAGCACAGAAATAGAGCATTCCTACCCTTCTAGAAAGTGCCACTGGGCCTTGCTGGGAACTAGTCTACGAACAGGCTTCACAGAGTCCCTTGGTGCTGTATATCATATGTCAACAATGTGTGTATGTACAGACATGTAAGTATGTTTCTGGGGAGAAAGTTTATTGAGCCTTGATCAGATTCACAAAGTGTGAACCCAAAATTCTACATCCCTCAGTCAGTCCGTCAGAATCATTTGTCATCTGAGATCAGAGGGATGTGACTACAGAGGGTACGCAGTAGCCCTGAACGGTGGCTCTCCACCAGCCTCAGAAGTGAAATGTAACTAAGAGCTTCTCTTTCAGCTAGGAAAAAAATCGAGTTTGGGGGTGAGTTGTAGGGCAAGGGTAGGATTAACCGAAACTTTAAATCGAGAGCTAGTAGAACGCTCTTAGTCCGTGTTTTCACTGTGTGTTCCCGTGACTCACTTCATTCACACCCTACACACACCCAGACCTAATGTTTGCAGACACCGCGTCAGGTGAGCTGTGCTCGTTAGCTAGCACATCCTCCTCTCGAATCATTCAGACATAGACAACTGCAAATCAGAGCTTTCGGTCAGAGATCCGCTGTTGTCACGCCAGCCGAGTAAATTCTAGCCTTCACTAATATGATGTAAAACCAGGGGAGAGGCCCAGAGTGCAGCAGTGAAATGCAGTGCTCTGTGAGGCAATCCCATACGAGAAGGTTCCCAGTTCAAGTCTGGAGACCTCTCTGAGTATTCCAGGCTTCTACATGCCCTTGACCCAGGACTGGCTGAACGCTGGGAGTGGATCACAACTTTAGGACCCTCTTGGGTGTACTTCTACTCTGTCTCTCTGTCTCTTTGTCTCTCTCACTCATGGAATGGATTAATAAGCTTTTTAAAAATAATAATAATAAATGAAATAAAGCCCAGGGAAGGGATGATGCTTTGTTACAAAAGCTCTTAATTGGGAGGTATGTTGGGGATTCACGAGACCACCAGTCGGGATTCCCTAGGAGGCCCCTCAGGGCCTAGCATGCAGTCACAGTGGTGGTGGTGATTTATCACAGTGAAAGTGTACAAAGTGTACAGAGCAAAATTAGCAAAGGGGACAAGGGCAAGGCCAGAGTCCAGAGGAAACTAAGCTTCCAAGAGTCCATCGTCAATGGAGTCACATAGGCTGTGCTCGGTACACCACGTGTGGAACATTGTCCACCAAAAAGCTTATTTGATGCTCAACGCCCGGGGTTTTTTCTGGGACAGGTCACATAGGTATCTTCTACCTAGCACATTCCAAAATTCCAGACTTCCGGAAAGAAAGCAGGTGTTTGGCATAAACCATATTGTTTGCACAAAGCTGAGGTACAGCGAGGCATTCTTTTCTGGGATGATGGAAACCTCCTTGAAATCCAGATTCTCAGATGTCAGCTAAAGGCCAGCCTTACAGTCTCAGGCCTGCCATGTTGACTCCCTGACAATGGGTGATACGTAGCCTGCCCCCACTGATGACTTTATAGGTTCCCAGGTGTTACCAGAGGTGGCCGGAAGTTGGCAGGA